CGGAAGTGGGACGTAAGGAGGTAGGAAAGGGTCTTACAGGACAAGGAATAGCCTGTGCAAAGATTGGCACCAACGAGAGCTTGGCATTGTCAAGGAACCAGGCGTGGGCCCAGCGTATCCTCTTTGGTTCTCCCAGTTATGAAACCAGTCGAGGGGACCTCCCAAATCTACTGTCCTGGGAGCTGGGTCTGGGGTGAGGCTGTGAGTGGAACCAGGAGGCCCATCAGGGGGACAAAGATGCTTCATGGAGGAGCCAGCAGGGCTTGGGGTGGGATAAGGGGAAGGGCTGCTCCTGCTGCTGGGATTCTATGTGGCTAGACTATAACCAACGTGAGTGGTGGGCCGGGAGCAGTGGGTGGCAGGAGGCTTCCTCCTGAGGGCAAGTGGGGGATGTGAGAGGATTTAGAAAGAGAAACTGATGAGCGTTAGTGAGGAGAACAGACTAGAAGGAACGCGAGACAGGAGCTGAGGGAGGGACCCAGCATGAAGTCGGAGGGTAGAGGGTAGTCATATGAATGTGAACGGTGAAGGGATTAAAGATGTGTGTAGTGGCCGATTCACAGGTCTTGGTGATTGATACAATAAGGAGCCTAGAGACAAGGTGTCTGACCTAAAGAATCAGGACAATGCGTCCTGAGTCACCGGTCACTAACGAGCGCATCAGGTTCTTGGGACAGGGCACAGGAGGACACACTGGGAGTGGAGGCAATATCAGGAGCCCTCATACCTTGGCAGGGCTGGCCCTGAGCACTGGTTCTCCCCCATGGGTAGGGAGGGCCTCAACTGTCAGAACAATGAAACCAACGGTGCCCTGGGAGCCTCAGCTGTCGTAAGCCTGGCCTTCTTCTCCTGCTTCTGGATAACCGTCAAGTACAATTTGAAGATGAGGAAAAGCTTTCACACCAGCTACTCAGTGGCCCCGGGGCTTTGACTGAGCCGCATTCTTGGTTATATGCAGCTCCTGGGCTCAGGATCAGGCTCAAAGTGGCTGAACCTAGCATAGAAGTGGACACTCACTGTCTGTCTATCTCTCTCTACCTCTACCTCTACCTCTACCTCTACCTCTACCTCTACCTCTACTTCTACCTCTGTCTATCTCTATCACTATCTCCATCTCTATCTCTGTCTCTGTCACTGTCTCTGTTTCTAGCTCTACCTCTGTCTCTCTCTCCCCCTCTACCTACCTCTCTCTCCCCCTCCCTCTCCCTCCCCTTCTCCCTTTTCCTCCCTCTCCCTCTCCCTCTCTCTCTCCTTCTCCCTCTATCTCTCTCCCTCTCCCTCTCTCATCTCTATCTCTCTTTCTACCTCTCTCTCTCATCTCTCCCTCTCCCTCTCTCATATCTCTCTCTCCTCTCCTCTCTCTCTCTCTCTCTCTCTCTCTCTCTCTCTCTCTCTCTCTCTCGGCTGCAGTCCAGTCGGGCAAGTCTAGTCCCTCTCCGGGCAGAGCGGCCCTGTTACTCACACTCCCTGCTCCCTTCACCCTGTTCTGAGGGTGCGTGCTTTCCTTGACCGCCTGAAGCAGGAGCAGCCCTTCCCCTCAACCCCACCCAAGCCCTGCTGGCTCCTCCATGAAGCATCTTTGTCCCCCTGACAGGCCTCCTAGTTCCACTGTCCTCACAGCCTCACCCCAGACCTAGCTCCCAGGACAGCAGATCTGGAAGGTCCCCTTGATTGATTTTAGAACTGGGAGAACCAAAGAGGACACACGCTGGGCCAACCCCTGGTAAGAAAATCATCTTGAAAATTTCCCTGGTCTCCACTAGCATCCAGATAAGGCCCAATCCTCCTCTCCCCCCAGCTGCCCGCTCAGCCTCACCATCTCAGTTCACAGATGCTCACGAGAAGCCCACCAGGTGCCTGGTATGGTGATGGCTTGGTGTCACTGTGGCGAGGGTGGCAGATAGCTCTGCCTCTACCAGATCATGGTCTTGATGTGATGCATCAGGCGGTATGCACCCCTAGAGTTTCACACTGGCCCGACAACCTACATCTGACTAAGTGGTTCCTCCATGACCAATGTTCTTTCTGTATTAGCCTTCTGCCTACAAGGCCCAGCTCACTGGTTGTTCCTTCTACACAGCTTTTCCAAATCTCTTATTCAGAAGCACCCTCTCGGCACCCTGGGGCATCTCACCTGCATATCCACCTGAAGGGCCAGGCCTTGCTCCCCCATTCCACCCTTCTGTGAACCCCAAGGGCAGGGTCGTGGTCTGGTCTGCCCTCCCTGGGCCCCTGACCCAGGACTGGCACCCACAGGGCCTCACTATTGGCACACCCTCCCCTGCCTGGCAGCCAGCACCAGCCTGGGGCTAGTCCAGAACCTTCCATGCCTGCTGCTGTCCTGATAACGCCCAGTGATAGGGGAATTTGGGTCTTTCTGGAGAAAAGTTATGTAAAAAAAAAAAAAAGCTCTGAAAAGAGTCTGCAGCAGAACGAAGGGGAATTAAAACACTCCCTGGGAATTTCCCTAGCAGTGGGGGCCTGCGCATCCCAGTTAGGGTCATGGTCTGGCACCAGGAGCATCCGGCAGCCTTGGTAGCAAGTAGAGATGTTCCAAGGGACCCAGTAGCCAGAGGACACTCATCACAAGAAGGGCCAAGAGACACCTTCCCCTGACCCCGGAGAGAACAGGCAGTTATCCACGTCTCACAGACAAGAGGCATCTGTCCCTTCCCTGTGCGACACAGGTCAGCAGAGACATGTGTAAGGTTACCAAGGAAGGACAGAACCCAGTTCAGGCCAAGAGAGACAGTGTATTGAGGAGAAACTGCCGGGTTGGCTTTAAAGTAGAGACCAGCAGCTACTTAAAGTTAGAGTAGGAAATTGGGAGTTAGGATGTTCGTAGCTGCTTGGTACAAGTTAAGGTAGCAAGTCAGGGGTCCTGGGAAAGGGAGGTGGAATAGCTTTGCAGCCCTAACAGAGATAAGCAGAGTCGCAGCTGCTTTTTGATCATTTCTATGGCTGTTCTGGGGAAAGTGGGGGCGGGGGAGGGGGGAAGCAGCTCAGCCGCCCTGACAACAAGTACCTTCCTGCTTCCTCTGGGCACAGGCCCCTCTGAAGTGGATCCCAGGCTCCTTCCAGTTACAACGCTCCTGGCCCAACCCTGTCTTCTCTGATTTCAGGGGAATGACATGCCTATGGTGTCCCACAAGAGGTGTACCATGCCTCACTCTTCAGGAAAATGGCATCACGCATGCCCACAGACAGGAGGGCCACCTGGCTCACCCCTCAGCGGCATCATCCATCCCAGGTCAGAAAGAACAGCTCAGATAGGCAGGGCTGCGGCCTGACGAGGGACAGAATGCAGTAACAGGATCCTAAGAGACTCACAGGAAAGCTGGCCGGGCCATTTCAAGGGAGGACCCGCCTCTCCCCCCCCCCCCCCACCCGTCTTTCTCAGATCCAGGCATCTCAGATGGGGTCCCCGAGTCAGTCCAAGCTTTCCTCTACAGGTGATGAACCAAAGGCCAGATTACCTGTGAGCTGCCTGAGGTCACCCAGCTGGGTGATGAGAGTCTTGGGACAGGGAGGATGGTGCTACAAGCAGGGAGAGGGCTCCCCCGCCAGGACCAGAAGCAGCCCCCGGACTTGTGGGGGAGGAAGAACTTCCTGTCGGGGTCCCTTCAGTGCCCCCTCTCTTGCTCACTATGGGGCCTGAGTGACATGGTGCTCTGCACCACTCCTGGCAGAGTCTTCAACAAATGGCAGCTATTGGGAGCGTAAGGAGCTGCTAACTAGAAGATCGGCAGTTCAAATCCACTAGCTGCTCTGTGGGAGAGAGCTGGATAGTGTCCTCCCATAAAGACTCACAGGCCTGGAAATCTGAAGGCGAGTCGCTGCTGAGCGTGGTTGGGTTTGGTTGTTATTATTACTATTGATGTAATTTGAGAGCGAGGGAAGGCAGAGAGGAGCCATCACTCTGAGCTTCTCTGGTCACTCAGGGATAGGCTGGAGCCAGGCCTCGACCCCATGAAGCAGCGTCGGAGTCCCCTGAGGGTGGACACACACCTGGAGGCCAGCAGGGCATTCCCCTCTGTTTTAATAAACACCCCAAGCCACTTCCTGCGGGGCCCAGGAATGACCTGGGGCGGGGAAGCCCTGTGCAGGGTTTATGGAAAGTCCACGTTGCTGGGACTGGGCTCAGACAAGGCGCTGCCTAGGTGTAGGGGGCAGGGGGGCTCAGGCAGGGCTGCGGGCTCTCTGTTCTGGAAGGACTGTGCATCCAGAAAAATCTGGTTCCACATCCTCTAAACCAAGCGCTGTTGTGTCCACACATGGTGGACGCACGAGCGTTAGAGTGAGTGGGCCTGCGCTCAAAGGTGAAAAAACGGGGGGGCTGTTTTTTCGAAGTTGTCAGGCTTGCTTTTCAAGGCACCTCTGGGTGGATTCGAACCATTAACCAGCAGAGTTGTCCGCATCGCTCAGGCATGGTGACTCGAGTCTCAATGAATTCTGTGGTTGAGGCTCAGTTTGGGAGAGGACACACAACCACCCCAGACCTTCTCCCCGCCCAGATTCAGACGAAGTCTCTCGGCCTCCCTGCAGACAGCGCACACACAGCACAGCGGTGCTCCCAGCCCCGGGGGCACCACCACTGAGCCCCCAGCTGGTGCCCTCTGCTCCCACCAGGCCCCAGCGGGGCGGCACACACAATACAAGCTCATCAGCCTTGGAGAGATGAACTCAGGACAGGATGGAGACTTTGCAGTTCTGTTGCTAGAGGAACCAAGAAATGTTCTCTTGAAAAGGAGAAGTGTATCACTGTCAGAGCCCCTGACAGCCCACCTCTGTCCCCAGCGTGTCCCATTCTTAGGAAAGCCACAAACATTCCAAGATTGGATTTCTGCGAAACCAGAACTGGAAGGATGGGGGGGCAGGGAGGCAGAGGCGGGGCAAGAACCCCCCCCCCCAAGAAGTTAAATAGGTTGTCTGCACCCTTTTACTCTGCGTCCCCAGAGCAGAAGGCACCACAGCTCGGGCATCTCTTGGCTTTCAGCACCATGACCTCCCTGAGGATGCTGCTCCTGGCTGCCCTGCTCCTGGGAGCTCCTTGGCAGCACGCCCAAGCAGGTGAGAGTGCCCGGGAGGGGCAGCACGCCTGCTCAGTGGTCACTGGCTTCCCCTGCTCCACAGGGGAAGTTCTGCAGGTGTAGAACTGGGGAGAGGCATGAAAGGGGAAACAATGCCAGGGTGCAAGGCAGGTGCGCGGTGCCGGTGTGACATGGAAGTGAACATGTTCATGATAGCTTGTTTGCATGAGTTCTCGAAGGAGGGAGTTGGCACAGGAGGGCCGCTTTCAAGCACACGTGAAGAGAAGTGGCTGTCATTCTGTCGGAAAGAAAAGCATCAGAATAGGAGTCTAAGGGGCAAAGTGGTTTAGTGTCCTACACAGAAACAAAACTGCAGCCTTTGGGGTTATCTTCCCACTCGAGCAAATAAGAGGGTCACCCTGAAAATTCACTGTACGTCCCGCTATAACTGCAGCAGGCTGGGGAGTCTGTCAAGGCAGGCCATGGGTCTGGGGTAGGGGACTTCTTAGAAAACTCCCACGCAATATTAGATAAAGCCACCCTTCCTCAATGCCTCTATTTCCAGCTGGTGGGGAGTTTTTCTTAAACAAAATGAGTGGCCTCCATGTTGTTATCTGTAAAATGGGTTAGTGACAGTCCCTGTCACAGGTGTGCTGAGAAGACTGCAGGGCCTGCTTCACGGAGAGACCCAGCCCAGACCCCAGCCCACGGTGAGGGTGCGGTGGTCTGGGCTGTTAGCTGAGTGTGTGCTACATCTGCACACACATACCCCTAGATCCACAGGCAAACCCACGGTGCACACACAGGTACACTCACATTCCAACACACAGGTCATCTCACACACCCCTGCCACCCAATCACACATACACAGACTCCTGACTCCTCACATTCCCAGACACATACCCTATAACACATGGATCTCACACTCAGACCTTCCCCAATACACACACAGAC